TGAAGTTAGCACTAACAAAACAATTATGAACACCTATCTACATGTAGATAAATCTGATAATACCTGCATTTTCCTCTACTTTGAGACAAGTAAAAATACTGACAGACTTTATTCATAATCAGTCTTGGATATGTATTGTCAGCTGATGTGTATTTTAGAGATGTTGGTCGACCTAATGGACTGAACAGTGAATAAGAATGCTGGATGCATGTTCAGCTCTTTCTTGGCCTTTAGTGTAGCTTCTTCATTTTATAAGTTTAAATCCCTATCATGTTGTGTGCCTGAAAAGAACTTGTTTTTAAAGATGCCAAGTATGAGCAAAGGTAAAATTATGTTTTATTAATATGATCCAGCTAGATTTTGTAAAATGTTTCAACTTAAGTAATTACTACTATTTTTGGACTACTTGACCCATCAGATTATCAGCATTACTTTTCTAGTAGTGTTATCAGTTAAGAAGCAACTGGTGCTCTAGACCTGTCAAAGTGGTTCTCCTAGCATAAGGTGACATCTTGGTGTATTTGCTTAGTTTTGAGGTACACTGAAAGTAATTTGTTACTAAATAATAGTTAAGATAGCAAAGTTTGCTAATTGTTTACTTTTTAAAAAAATTCCTTTAATATTATCCTTTTAATATCAGTTACACTGCTTTCCTCTATGGGTGAGAAGTGGAATTAAAGTTCTCTCGTTGAGAATTTGTATAATTCTCAGCTATGGGAAAATACTTCATGTCAATATTAGAGGAAAAGTTCAGGTGTCATAATTTCAACCTCTTCCTCTCCCACACCTTTCTTATAGGAACTTTGCCAGTTAATCAATCTTTGGGCAGAGAGATTCTGTGCCTTGGAGGAAAAGTGTGAAAACATCCAGAAACCACTTAGTAGCATCCAAGAAAATACAGAACAGTAAGCAGTTTTTAATTCTCTTTAACTTTTCAGGCGCCTGGGTGGCTCAGTTGTTAAGCGTCTGCCTTCGGCTCAGGTCATGATCCCAGGATCCTGGGATCGAGTCCCACATCGGGCTACCTGCTCGGCAGGAAGCCTGTTTCTCCTTCTCCCACTCCCCCTGCTTGTGTTCCCTCTCTCGCTGTCTCTCTCTCTCTGTTGAAAAATAATAAATAAAATCTTAAAAAAAAAAATTCTCTTTAACTTTTCTCTGCCTGAAATTATTTCAGAATAGACGGCTTCAAACAGTACAAATAATACTATCAACCCGATTTCTCATTTAACATTTTATGGTTGTTTTCTCATTCTCATTCCCTTTCTCTCTTCCCAGCCCCTTCTAATATTTTACATATAGATATCTTTTCTGAACTAGCTGTGCATAGGTTGCATCCATAATGCTCACTTTCCCCTAAATACTTCAGTCTGTATTTCCTAAAAATAAGGATATTCTCTTATATTACCATAATACAATTATTTTAAATCAGAAAATTAGTATTGGTAACTTCTATTACCTAGTATTACAGACCTAATTCAAATTTTGCCAGTTGTCTCACTGGTGTTCTTTATAAGAAAAGAAAAAGATTTTCTTCCTGCTCTAGGATTTAATCTAGGATCACACAATGCATTTGATTGTCATGTCTCTTGAATCTCCTTTAATCTGGAGTAGTTTCATAGTGTTTGTCTTTTATGACCTTTGCTTTTTCAACAGCATAGAATATTTATTTAGCACAGTGTCCCTCAGTTGGGGTTGGCCTTCATAATTAATTGGAATTTCTCTGTAGCTCCTTTCAAGATATTTTTCTTTGCCTTTAGTTTTTGGAGGTTTGATTATATTGTGTTGTCTTATATATTTTTTGAGGTTATCCTATTTGGATTTACTCAGCTTCTTGAATCTGTACACTTATGCCTCTCACCAATTATGGAAATTTTCATCCATTATTTGAATGTTTTTCAGCTCTATATTCTTTCTCCTCTGCTTGTAGGACTTTGATGACACAAATGTTAGATCTTTTATTGTGGTCCCATAGGTCTCTGAGGCTATAGTTTATTTTCTCTTTGTTGTTCAGATTGAGTAAATTTTATGAACTGTCTTCATGTTCCTTTGCCATCTCTAACCTGTAGAACCCATTCAATGAGGTGTTTTATTTCAGTTACTGGGTTTTTCAGTTTTTTAATTTTCATTTCCTTTTTTTATCTCTCTTAATTCCTTTGCTAAGATTTTATTTTTTCCAAAAGTGTTTTAATTGCTCATTGAAACATTTTTGTATGGCTGCTTTAAAATCCTTGACAGATTATTCCAACATCTGAATTATCTCAAGGTTGGCACCTGTTGTCTTTTCTCATTCAAGTTGTGATTTTCCGGAATGGTTTTGATCATATCTTGAACATTTTGATTATTATGTTAGGAGATTCAGAATCCTATTTATGTTTTCTTTTTTGGCAGGCATTCACTTTTGTTTAGGTTTAATGTGAAGGCCCTGGCCCAGTTTTGCGAGCTTTGGTTCCAAAGACAATTTTATTTTCAGAGCCCTTGCATTCTAATATGCTTCGTTTGGTGCTGCCCATATGAAAAAAATTTGTATTCTGCTTTTGATGGATGAAATGTTCTATACAGGTCAGTTAGGTCTATTGATTGTGTTATTTGGGTCATCTGTATCCTTACTGAGTTTCTGCCTATTTGTTCTATCAATTACTAAGAGAGGGGTGTTAATCTCCAATTACAATTTTAGATTTGTCTATTTCTCATCAGTTTTATCAGTTTTTGCTGCATATATGTGATGCTCTGTTGTTAGATGCATACACATTTAGTGTTGATATGTCTTGGAGAACTGACTGCTTTATCATGTAATGTCCCATTTTATCCCTGATAATCTTCCTTGTTCTGAAGTCTGAAGTCTATATCTGAAACTAATATAAGTACTTAGCTTTCCTTTCATTGCTATTTGCATATAATGTACTTCCATCCCTTTACTTGTGGCCTACATCTTTATATTTAAAGTGGATTTCTTGCAGATAACATGTAATTGGATCTTGCTTTTTCGTCACATTTAACAATGTATGACTTTTAACTGGTGTGTTTAGACCATTTTCATTTAAAGTATTGGTATAGTTGGATTAAAATCTCCCATTTTGCTGTTTTCTATTTGTTGCATATTCTGTGCTTTGTTTCCTTTTATTCCTTTCTGAATTTGAGTGTTTTTATGTTTTCATTTTATCTCTTCCATTGATTTATCATTTATACTTTTTTTCTTCCTTTTGTTTTTTTAAGAGAGAATGTGCAT